CTGGTCGTATCTCAAAAAATTTGTAAGGAGGGGCGTTCGTAACTAGAGGTACCACTGTATGCCATTTTCTCAGTAAAAGACTTCTGTTTCTTTCATCTTCAGCTGCGTAGGAAATTATATTATTTAATTATGAATTGCTTTCTAGGAATTAAGGTCTTTAAAGTATTAGAAGCAACAACAACCTTATCAGCTACTACTACTACTTCTTATGTTGTAAAAGGAGTCTGTAATTTTCATGTTTTGAATTCCAGTTTTTAATGTCTCCTAACTGCTATTTATTTATTACATTTATAAGCTGCTCAACGCCATCCCAACTCTGGGTGGTATGCAGCATAAAATAATAAGATATAACCAAACAGGAACAAACATCTGGGGAAAAAATATGTTTGGACACTAGCAGACCAACACCCACCACCTGGCCAAAGGCCTGGGGAACAAATTTGAGTCAGATAATGATGGGGGCCATATAAACCTCTGGGGCTGCACTGTGGTGCAACACAGAAGGCCCGCTTCCTGGATCCCATGAGATGACACTGTTTAATTGATAGGACCTGAGGCATGCCACCTCTGCCTAAACGTATAAGGTGGGCCAAAACTACAGAAGACAGTGGGTCCCTCAAAGAACCACTGTTATTCGATCACACTGTTATCTAACTACTGTTAGATCACAATTAGATACTTTTTAACTGAATATATATTTGATTTCTTTTCCTTAAAAAGATCTGCTCTTTGTTTAAATAAAATACTGCTTATGTGGTAATATTAAAAAATCATTTAAGTTCTAGACCAGTGGTCTTTGAACTTGAGATACCCAAGGAACCCTTTTCAGTGTGAAAAATCAGTGCAAAACCCATTAATAAATAAGTTTCATGTAATACATTTTATTTGAACAAAGTGTTACAATTAATGTTGCAGTAATACATATCATTCAATATAAACAGAAACCGTCACAGAGAATCCCTGGATGATTCTCACGGAACCTTGGGGTTCCAGGAAACACAGTTTGGACCACAGTGTGGTTCTAGACCATTGATACTATAGAACGATTCACAAGGATGCTATAATTCAGAAGTGGGGATGTGCAGAATCCCGTTTTCAATCCATGGATTACCTAGTTCAAAAGACCCAAAGTAACAAGAAACCTTAGAAGGATACTTTTAGATGTTCACGAAAACAGCTTCTCTCTCAACACAATGATCTTTGAAATTACTTTTCCAAGTAATTTTCTTCAACATTCACATGAAAAGAAATTTTAGGAAATTCAGATTGTTCTCAGCTGAAGGGTATTATTTTCTTTATGCTCCTGAGGCTGTTTAGAAAAGGGCTACAGAAGAATTTGGTCAGAGATTCTGTAAAGCGTGTGGAAGTACATTTTAGTAGCTCCCAGATACATCTCTTGCAGTACCTATTTTTCCCCTGTACATCACCCTCCCCTCCCTGGTTTCCTGATGGTTTCTAATTGTTTACTTTCTCTGTTTCCCACCTTATCAAGCAGAAGCAATCCTTTGTCATTCTCTTTTATTTTTTTATAAACTTCTGATCAGATGGTGTTGGGCAGTAGAGTGCCATGTTACCAAAGATTCACCTTTTATTCCTCCTAGAATGCCTCTAGACATAAAGAGAGACCAGATTTAGAGGCCCTTTGAGAAAATAAAGATAGTAGGTAGGTCTGGAGACTCAGCTACTTGACTATTTTTTTTTTTTTACGACAAGCGTCCTTCCCAGATCTTGACACCACCTCCTTTTCTTATCTTCATGCATGATCTGCCATCTCTATCTTCTCTGATGCCTAGCCTCTAGGCTGAGGGTCCTGGATTGTATCCTTAAGACAGACCCTCACAGATTTGACAGTGGGAGAGAAGTACTCTGTGAACTGGCTTTTTATTCTTCTGAAGGTCGCTCTTGCCTGTTGTCCTTGGACACCTCCTGAAAGTAGCACAGCGCCTCCATAATCCGTATAAAACAACACAATAGTAAATGAAGGTTCTGGTTGGAGCTAACTTTTGATTTTTTCTAGTTCAGCCCTGTTCTCTTCTTTCCTGACAGTAATGGTAACAGCAGTAGCTGGAGCAGTCTTGGTTTAGAAGGAGATTTGTATGAGGAGAATTTATCCTTTCCAACATCAGACAGGTTGGTCAAACCAAGACTCAACAACAGGATGGCCTCTTATATTTTAATGCATGAATGTTGACACTTTTCAGTAAAAACAATCTGGTGCATTTGAAGTGTGATTCACTATATACATGCTTTTCACTTAATTGTGCTGTTCCTTAACCAATCCATACAGAATGGGTCCATTTGACTGTGCTACAGTGTGAATGTCTCTGCAGAAAGAAGAACAAAAATCCAATCTCCTTTCTGCATGTCCTGCTTGCTCTTCTTGCTCCTGCCAATTATTTCTTCCCAAGAATAAGAGCTTGCTTCCTACAATATTTCTGATTTTTACTGAAGTGCGACTGTATCTTTTTCCTCTGCCTCTGCTGTCAAGTAGAAATGTTTTATCAACATTTTATCAAAGACGTTAATATCCAATGAAATGTTGAAACAACATGTTCTTCTTAAAATCATGTAATATTTGTTTTTAAAAAGATGGACATAATTTAATGATTTTACCCAGGAAATTTGCAAGCAGTGTAGTAGGAAATGGTGTGAGAAGCAATGCTTTCTTTTTCACAGTAAATCCTTAAAACCTTTGTCAGTTCATACAGTTTTTCCTTGAATGTTCATCCCTGCCTGTTCATCACAGAACACATTCATATTATCACCCATTCTAACTGTACTCCCTTTTTTCTAGCGATGGCGTCGAAGATAAAGAGGAAGAGCTTAAAGATTCCATTGAAGGTAAGGTTGAAGAGGAGGTGTGAATTATATTGGAACTGATACAGGTTAAGTCTGCCCAGGGGTCTTCTATGCAAATAGCTTTTGTAGACTGTGCAGCTGTTTCATCTCTTCTCGTTTAGCAGAATTTCTGTGATAAAGAAAAAGGCAGAAGTGGAAAATGCAAGAAGGTTACGAAGGGGAAGCCACATATTTGAGGGAACCCCCTAACATGTAATGAATGGCATAGTGTGAGTGCATGATGAAAGTCTGGATTGGAAGCTACCCCGTGCCAGTTTTTGTAAGTCCTGGGTGAGAACAGTGATCGTAATCTGTTTGAAAATGACCTGCACGCGTTATTTAATATTCTCAGCTGCGATTGACCACGAACTGAGGTTGTGTCTAGAGGCCTGGGCTCCAGTTACTCTGCTTCAGATTTCGTAAATGAATATAAAAGGACTAGCTCCATCTCATGGACATTAGTAGGCACATTTTTTTTAACAGAACAATCGCTTCCTGCTAAATTGAGAGTCACCAAAGCCAACAGTTGAACCTTTTCCTAATTGATGGAAAATAAGACAGTTCCCTTAATTTTCTACACAATAAGGAGAGTTTACACCTAGATAATGAATTACTTTGAAAACCCAACCACTTTTAGAATCCTTTTCTCCCCCATTCTTCATTTTTCCAGCAAAGTGAGAATCCCAAAGTTTAATCTGCATATTTTTTGATAAAATAAAAATCTGTCTTGTGTCTTGTGAACCGTCACAGAAAAATGGTTTAAGCATTAGGCTGGCTGGCATGCATGCAAGGTAAAACAGGGCAGTCTCTCTTTGTCTTCCTCAAAGGAGCTTTCCTTTCTCAAGTAAGAGGGATTAGTGCTTCTGGGTCAAAGTCAAACTTGATTATGGGTATATTTTTCAACCAAATGCAAGTCCTTGATCTGACCAGAGCCTGCCTGAAACCCTGCCTGTTCCTCTGCAAGGAGATCCCAGCCAGTCCAGGAGCTCCAATAAAGGTGTCTAGCATAGAAAGTACTAATTATGCTAAGCAGGCTCACCAGAGAGGAACAATTAAGGTTGTGCCCCAGTCTCTAGAGATGGAGAGTGTATTATCAATATAAGTTAAAGTGAAACAGACATGGGAGCCCATCATTTGGAATGGGTTCCTATCAATTCAGGGGGAATCGAATCCAAACCTGGGGTTTTCCAGATTGTAATTGCCTAATTCATTTATGTACTTCAATAGCTGAAACTGGAGGCCACTCCAGCAGAGTCGCTTTCCTGAAAATGTCAACATCTTGTGAATTCCATATAAAGATTGAAAATGACCTTTTGTGGCTGAGATATACGTAGAGAGTAAGGAGGATGACCTGGGTGGAGATAGGCCAGATCCGTTACCAAGGGAAAAAACATGGGTTAAGTTCAAAACAAGCAGAAGGAATGTGAAAATGACTCAGGCAGACACCTCCCTAATTCACATGAGTGAGTGTGTGTGTGGGGGGGGAGTAAAGCACAATCAAACTTGCAAGATTCTGTTATTATAGTCAATCTTAATGAAAATAGTTGTAGCTGTGGAGTTGATTTCTTGGTCTGGTCTACATAATGGGGCTGACAATTTAACACTCCAGGGGAGAGGAGTGAGCTTTCAGTCCTCCCACAACTAAATGCCAAAATTTCAGGGAGGTTTTAGCCCAGGTAGCTGTTAATAGCTGGGTCCAAGTTTCATGCACCACCTCTCTTTTTAGTAGCCTTTTATAATGCTTCTTCTGAAGGAGAACCCTTGATTCAAGAGGATATAAGTGGTCTTGTCTATAGTCCTTAACTATAACTTAAATAGTCCTTAACTATAACTATAGTCCTTAACTTAACTAGACAACCACTAGTTTTTGTTTGTTTGTTTGTTTTTTGCTTTCAGTAGTCCTTATCAAACCAAAGCTTTGACATGTGTTGGTTATTTTAAGTTTTTTAGGTTGAGGTTGGCCTAAAATCTGTTTGCAGGACTGGATCACAAATGTATAATGCTTAAGGGTAGTTTCATCAGGTAGAGATGTTCAAATGAGTGGAGTTCAAAAGCTCTTCTAAGTATTTGCTCATTTTAGTTGACCATCTTATGCAGCCCAAACATAGAACTGTCTCTGCGTACATAAGGCAAGGGGTATCTGCTAGCTCCATTTTGTCATCTAAATGAAGGGACAAAGTCAGAGGTAGATGATCTCTATCTGGAACATTGACCTCTATAAAATCTTTTAGAGAATTGAAAAGTCCTCAAGAGAGGGCTGTGTAATCCACTGTGCTTGTTTTTGAGCCTGAGCAAAACCTGAATTCCCCCCTCTATCTCCATTTAATATGTGAAAACCCAACTTATTGATGCATTGTATCAAGCCAAAGCCTGCAAAATTACATTTCCCATCTTTAGATTGGTGCTGGTCCAATCAATGGTGGTGGTGGGTGACTTTCTGGAAGGGTAGCTATGGTATTTTAAATATTAAATATGGTCTCAGATATAGGTAGGCTTCAGTTAAGTACTGCAAATGCTCCCATAGGAAAGTGCTTTGTCTGAAGTCAAACAAGATCTTGAGGACTTTCTAGCTCAAGATTTGGATTAGCTGCAGCTGTTGACAGAAAATGCAGGTCTCCCAATGTACCAGGGGGATTGAAGAGGTCACTCAACCATTCTTGGGATAGTGTTTCCACCTGGAATGTCCAGACCTCTTTAAAGTGATTTTGGGACACAGAGACCACAGTTGTGCCTTTTATTGCCAGTGGAGGCTCAGACATACATATTTGTTTGAGAATATTATAACACTGCCAGTTGTATTTTTGAACCCCAATTTTTTTTTCAAAGCTGGATCAAACATCTTTGCTCAGTTCTATAATAGCTAAAGGAACTCTCTTCAGTTCCTTTAGCTATTATAGTTGATTGTGTCTATGAAGCTAGGATTTTGTACCCAATATGTATCACTTTGCATTTACTTATAACTGACCTACCCTTGCTGGCCAATTTCCCTTTCATCCGATTTGGAAAGATCTTTTTCAAGCTTCTCAATTTATTCTTGTTTTTACCACTTTGTATTATTGGATGTAATTAGCAAATAGGCCTACCCTCACTGCTCAGCACTGTTTCATATCCTACATTAGCAACAATTGTTCTATTTGCAGAATGATTTGCATAATTAGTTGGCTAAAATGTGTGGCTAATCAATTGATTTTTCATTTTCATTTGCTTGTCATAGAGTTGAGAAGTCCCCCAAAAGCCTTGGTAATCGTAAATGTTGATATAGGACCATGCATGGTGGATTCCCAGCTGAGAATGACGCTGCAGTGGCTTAGTGCTTCAGAAGCAGATGTAGCTGAGCTTCGTTTTCATGATGACACTCCAGTAGAGTTTGTTCTTGTGAGTAACAAAAATGTAGACTCAATAGAAATTGTGATGGCAATAATTCACTTGGACTTACTGCAGTGGTCTTCAAACTTGAAATACTTGAGAAACCCTTCTCAATGTGAAAAATTCGTGAGGAACCCATTAATAAATACGTTTTAGAAACCAAATGTGAACCAAATGTTAATGTTGCAATAGTACATTCCAGGAAATACAGTTTGAAAACCACTGGCTTATCGCTTCATAGATAATGACAAGAGTGGGAATACCTTTACAGTTCTAACCATGTATGAAGTCGTTTCCGTCAATTTCACATCTGGCCTTGCTGCAGAATCATCTAAGTAGGGTTAGAGGCAGTCAGGGGTGATGCATTATAGACTTGTTTGGTAAGAGTGTCCCTGTAATTGTAAACCACATCGTCATTTTTATTCAAATATAGTTAAAACATGTTTATTTTGAAACATTGTTCCTTCCCTACAATGACTTTGCATCTTCTCTTCACTTCTTCCCCCTACTTTTCATTCTCACTTACTGGATTCACAGTGGTCAGATAGCAAACAAG